ATTCTAATGAGGAGCCCCCAAAACCGTATTCTAAATGATTAGAATAGGGTTTGGGGGTATATTCTGCGAGAATTTAGGGGGGATATTATGCAACGATTCTAATGAGGAGCCCCCAAAACCGTATTCTAGTTATTCAGGCCCCTACAGTATCTTGTAGGTTCATGTCCAGCTGTTGCTGAGGTTCGTGGTGTGAGTCCATCGCCTCGTAGGGTTCAATTCGCAGCATTCTGGGTTTCAGGGTTTGAGGTTCTGGTTCCGGGTTTAGGGTTTTAGGGTTTAGGGTTTAGGGTTTCAGGGTTTGAGGGTTTGGGTTTGAGGGTTCTGGTTCCGGGTTTAGGGTTTCGGGGTTTAGGGTGTTTGGGTTTAGGGTGTGGGGTTGAGGGTTGAGGGTAGGGTTGAGGGTTCTGGTTCAGGGACCGTGTAGGGTTAACAGGGTCTGCTGATCTGGGACCCTCGGTCTCCAGTTAGGCCACCCGGTGGCACTCTTATCTAGCTTATGATTTAGGTCTCAGGGCAAATGTACCCTTACTTCAATGTTCATGGGTCACTGGGTAAGTCGAGTTATAACGGCTTTCTTATGTATGTGTCTATCATGTAGGCTATGTGCAAGATGAACGCATGTGCTGCCATTGGGCGGTCCGCTGTTCATGGCCCAAGTGTGTATGCTCTGCTGGTTAGGGTTTAGGGTATGGGGCCGTTAGGGTTTAGGGCCTCACCTGCGAAACCTTCACACAGCCCCCTGCGAAAATTCCCAGTCAGGCCCCTTACCATTTTCTCCAGGAAGATGGACCGAAAACTCCTCAAGCCTAGAACCGTATGTAAGCCATAAAGTGCCCTAAACCCTGAAGCAGAGCCCTAAACCCGAAACCCTTCTTTCGATATGAGAGGCTTGCAAGACAAGATCTCAGGGATTTGACATCGAGGCTATAGCTACGTAGGTTCCTTGATATCCATTTGATCATAGGGTAACTTTTCCCCCTTGTGTAGCTACGGCTTTAGGGTTTGGGCTTGCAGGGGGTGGTCTACGGGTTTAGGGGTTTAAAGTTTATATAAGGGTTGCGGTGTCAAGGACTTTTTGTCTAAGGGAGGTTTATAGTGCGAGTGCTCTGAGGAGATGTGTATGGCCAAGTACGGCCGTGATTCTGGCTCCACCATTCCAGTGAAGCTGGTTGAGGATGCCTGTTTCTTGTCCGCCTGTTGTGTAATGAGTGTAATGTACCCTAACCGCCCAGGTACCTACTATATAGGGCCCCTAAGGGCTCTAGCACCCTAAAAAGTAGGTACCTGGGGGGGTTGGGGTAGACTCCGAAATTAATTAGTAACTCCCACGAGTCAGGAAGGGCTCTACGTTACGTTTGCCTGGTTGGTCTGTAGGATCCAAGCCTTTGATCTTGCACGGTGTACTGTTGGGGAGCGACTGCCTTACTGCCTTCTTGGGCAATGATCTCGGCTCGCCTTCCCTCCCCCACTCCCTGAATGATACGACTCATGTCCAGAAGCACTCTCAACCCTAACTGTACTAATTATCCCAGTTATCGTGCTTTCACTTTGTGTCCTTCACCTACTTGGCTGGTTAAGCCAACTACTACAGGGAACTGAATGCCTGACCCACTTTCGGGATCGCACCGGAACCCGTGACCACAAAATCCTTCGTAAGCTTCAGACACCGTAGCAGGGAAAGCATGTTATGATGCGTTCATCCCTTATTGAAATTCCGCCAACTTAGGTCCTTCAGCAGGGACCCAGTGTATTGGGCTAGAGGTCCCTTCGAAGGGGACTCTTACTCACTCTGTTCTTGTTTTTGTCATGAGTTCCGTCTCCTCGAATGTCGAGGCCCCTAAACCCTAAACCCTAAACCCTCTGAGGCCTGGTCTTTGTCCTTGAGTTTTGGTTGTGCGTTCTCGGTGCCAACTCGCTGGCGATAGGCTCTGCTCCTCTTACCGGGCTCGGCCCTGGGTTGACATCTTGCAGGTTATAACAACTATAGTAGTACCCTATAACCTATTAACCTATGATAAATGTGCGTTAAGATCAAGTGTAAGACTCTAAACTCTGTTCTACTAAACTATATAGATTATTCATGTAGGATAACCTTAAGGCCTATAATCTACCCCTTAAAGCCTAAACCCTGTTGTGTGTTCCCTGGCTTGGTGCTCCTCGGGGTTCTCACGGCCCGGGTCACCCTGCGGGTCCGTGCTGCTTCTCGACTTGGCGTTTATCCTCAAACTACTACAGCCGCCTTTTTTTGGTGCAAGTAAAGTAGGGTTATGGCGTATAGTATCGTAGACTTATCATCGAAAGGAATATGATAGGTAATTACATGTGATTTTTCAGGCTTCTACATTACGCCTCAGACCTGGAAGCATGGGATGATTTGGGAGCAGCCGAGGTCAGACGCCTCTGGCAGACGAGAAGCTCAGGGAAGCGTTTAAGGATTGGACTTACACCACGGAGCATCTCTGCTTGTTCTGTCGCGATAGATACTCAGAAATGCTGTTACTGCAGTCGTTTCAGCCGTGGTCCAAACAGCTTTTCTGATTGCAGGAACGCGTGGGTAGTAGGGAATTGAAGCCGAAGCTGTGTCTCTATTTCTATGGAGCCTTCACGTGGCTTATGTTTCCGTGTGTTTGCGGCTGATGGGGATGAGGATCGACGAGACCGGCATTCCTCGTTATGTGTGGCAGTTGCAGATGCAGCAGTCACCGCTGTCTCCGTCGTTGACATAGAAGTAGTCGACAGTCGTGGCGGTGCTAGTTCTGTTGACTGTTATCAACTTCATTGATATCATGAGACGGATGAGAAGAAGTAGAAGTAGTCTTCGTCGTCCTCGTCGTAGCAGTAGTAGAGTAAGTAGTAGTGGTACATAGGTCTTGGGTCATGACTCCGGATTTGTCGTCCTAGTACTTACGCTACAGGCTTGTAGCGCCCTGGGAAGTTCGATTTCAAAAGCTCTAAGTTATCGGGCCGGCCCGGACTGAACTGAGGATCGTGGACGGAAGCTATGCCATCGTCCACAAAAATATCGAGAATCCCCATCTGGACATCAGCCGCAAGATCTCCTGAATGATGAGGCTACAAGCCGCGACCCTCGTCTGATCCCTCAGATAACCAGTCTGGTGCAAGCATGCATCCCACCTGGAGAGATCATTGGTAGTTGTCATGATGATAGCCATGAGGAAAAGTTCTGGACAGAAGAGGACATTACTTAGTCCGTGCATCTACCCTCAATTAGACCCTATAAACACCCAACACTATCAGAGACCATATAGCCTCCCCAAATTCGAGGTACGAGGTCTTGACGCACATCCACACTTAGCCGTGAAGTTTCGGCTTTCCAGCAGCTGCGTTGAGGTCGGCGGAAAAGGCATCGAGCGTAGAACAAGGAATCCTTCCCTACCAAGATTGCTTTAAGGTATGGTTTGTGTGGGAAGTCAAAATCAGCAGCAGCTCTTTTGGGCGCTTTAGCAGCCTTTCGAGCGGACGTTAACTAACCTCTCCAACATTGCATCATTTGTCGTTTGAGGCTACATCACCTTAACATGTGTGGTACAAAATACTCAGTTGTTGAGAGTGCCCATCCGCATAGAGAGCCTAAACCAAAAGGCCCGACAAGAGCCGATGTTGTCAAGGTTCCTTCAAAGGGTTTAGGGTTTGGGGTTTAGGGTCCTAAACCCTAAACCCTAAACCCTAAACCCTAAACCCTAAACCCTAAACCGTATTTAACTTTAACTAAGCCCAAACCCCGCCACCCCCTAAATGTTGGTGATCGACGGCCTACATGGTGTA